CATTGAACCACCATCACGTGTACCCTGCATCGAATGCGAAGTAACACCAAGAACGATGCTATCCTTCCATTTATACTAACTCCGCTATATAGAGAATTGAGAGGAGCGGATTTTCCAACACCCCTCATTTCCAAAACAGTGACAAGGATGGCCAACAGGGTGGGAGGGCGGGTCTGGCCCGAACTGAGCAAGCTTCTCGCAGACTACTATGAGAAGTGGGAAGGGCATGGCAGGAGAGAACCCTCGGGCATGAACTGAGCAAGCTTCTCGTAGATTGCTAAGAGCAGCAGGAAGGGCATGACAGGTGAGGCGTGTACACATCTCGACCGGTGGCCTGAATCCCTCAGGCTGCAACAAAATAGAGTGAGAACACGACAGACGTGACACGTACGCATATGCTCCGGAGGCGAGCCAGATGAACTGAAGCATGCACAACGATCTCAGTGGATCTAGTTTTGATCACGGTCCAGATGTGACGATTTGATTGAACTGGAATACTAACTCGGATCTTGTATACGACAACCTGCCGAGTACCACACTGCCGTGGTCTTTCGCCTACTCCTGTCCGATATCTCAGTTCGATAGCTCGATCCTAGGCCTATTTCAATCTTTTTACAATGAATGTAGGCCCTTTTTGGGGCTTGGTTACTTTCCGCTGGCCTCGCGAGACAGATGCCCTTTTGGTATCTCCGCACGAAGCCGTACGTATTTGTTTCGTTGGTGTTTGGTTTGTTTTTTGTTTTGGATGCGGTGACGCAAACTCTTATGTTGTTTTTACACCGCTAAACATTAGAGTCCGTGGGAAAACATTTGCAAGCGAAGCAGCCTTTTGAAGGAATAAATGGACTAGATAGATAGTAAGTAGTAGTATAAATTTGATGGAGTGGAGCCTTGCTCCGTACAGACTGAGCAGTGAGGAGAAGGTATGTTGCACGTTGTGTGCAACTACAATGTGGTTCTACTGCGATATTAAACCTAAGACTACATTGTATTTAGAGTTTCAACTCCCGTATTAGCCAAGTGAACGACCTTGCAATTACGCTTGGGCACGCTTACTTGGTGCCATAGCTCCTTCACGTCCAATCGTGCTTGCGATTGGCGCGATAGTTGCTTATGAGCATGCTCTTCCTATGATCATATTTATTTCTCATTTATTTGTGTACCATTTATCTTTGATTTCGGTACTTCCGAGTTACTCTGGACTGTGATCAAGATCGAAGTTGTACAGATCGGGGCGCGTGATGCCATACCACCAGGCGGGCTTCGCACTCTTCGTCTTTTGGAAACTGAAGGCATATACATCGTGGCTCTGCTGCGTGATCTGACTGCATGCACGCTAGGGGTAGGGCCCGGGGGAGAGGATGCTGGTCCGGATGTCGCAGATACTGGATGGATTATCTGAATACCCCACCCACATCGGTGAGGCAACCTCATAATCCTTCCCCTATCACGACTATACCAGGACCTCAACCTCATCCGCTACCCACATACCCACCGGACTACGGACGGGCGCCCCCCCCACCTCCTCCACCGAATCCGTGGGGTTACAGCCAGCAACACGAACTGAACCGACCACCTTCTGCTAACGCCTTCCCTGGACCAGGGAACCGGGCGTGGTTTACAGGGAGCACCTCGAGTTGATCGAAAAATGGAAGACGAGAGATCTCGAAGAATCCGCGAAGAAGAAGACTGAAGACATTGGAGAGAGCAGCAGAAGCGGCGTAGTTAAGAAGTCCAAAGGGAAATCAAGTTCTAGCTCCAGAGACGGCGAGCATAACCTCAAGGCTTGGATGGCGAGTAATTTCGGCGTATCATTGAAGAGGATCGCTGAGAAATTTGGAGTCATCGATAACAAGACCAAGGACGTGGATGCGCAGAGAGAGAAGCCTGTGAAGAAAATTGCGGAATTCGAATGCAGAGCTAAGAAAGGGGAAGGGAGTAGTAGTGAGAAGAGGAAAAGAGTGATGGGAGCGAACTCACCTGCTGCCGAACTCCAGAAGCGGAAATCACGATCAAGGAGCGGAGGCGCGAAGACCAGGCAACCACGGATTCCAATGTCATCCGATGATGAAGAAGAAGACAAGAAGGCGCAAAACGCCATGATTCAAGGGGAAACAATAGTACCCAGAGGTGCGGCTGGGGATGATGGTGGTGTGAAACTCGATGACATCATGGCGCTACTCGCTTATAGAGAAGAGCAAAGGAATCCGGAGCGAGAAATCCAAGGAGCATTCAGAGAAGTATAGCGCGATCCTGACCAATGAAACACACAAGGATGAAGAAGAATCCGACAACGACGAAGAGGAGAACTTGAAGTGAATAGGAATGCCACATGCGACGTGGGCATGGAAGTTGGGATTGTCGAATACATGAGGCAGAGGCTGGACCACTATATGGAAATGACCGGGAAGAAGGTTAAGAGCCTATGTCTAAAAACGAACGTGAAGTGGGAAAGAAAAGACAAGTGCGCCTAGGAACTGGCGAAACAGGACACGGACGAGTTCACGAAGCTTATGAATGGCGACGACACCCTCGAATCGGATCCAGTAAAGGATAATGAAGATGAAGATGGGAATAACGATTCGGACAAGAAAGACGACGACGTGAAGGGGAATTGAATGTCACCAAGCGTAGCCTGATGAGGCTACTGAGGAGATTGAGCCTCGCAAAGATCGACGCCCAAGAGGAACTGAGACACGATATGGATGACGCGTTCAAAATAGGCACGCTTGGGTTCATTAGCTTGGGACGTACAGTTGTCAAGTATTGGAGGAATCTCCATCCTAGCGAGTTATTAAATGATAGCGCTAACTCTTGTGTCTATCTGCTAATTTCTCCATTATGCAAACTAACATATATTGCATAGACTGGCACGGAACTTAAGGATAGGTGGTGTGAACACGAGCGGTGTTCTTTGGTTAACCCAGTTTTCAAAGTGCACAAATGGTTGCACAAGAGAAAACCCTCGACGTAT